AATAGCATTCTCTCTCTCTCTCTCTCTCTCTCTCTCTCTCTCTCTCTCTCTCATTCTGTTTGTTTGTTTTTTGAGACAAGGTTTCTCTGTAGCTTCGGAGCTTTCCCAGAACTAACTCTGTAAATCAGGCTGGCCTCGAACTTAACAGAGATCCGCCTGTCTCTGCCTCCCAAGTGCTGAGATTAAAGGTGTGCGCTGCCACCTCCCAGCTAGAACAGTAGTTCTCAATATGTGGATCGTGACCCTGATGGGGGACTCATATCAGATATTTACATTATGATTCATAACATTAGCAAAATTACAGTTACGGCCAGGTGTAGTGGTATATGCCTTTAAATTCCAGCACTTGGGAGGCAGAGGCGGGAAGCTCCCTGAGTTCGAGGCCAGTTGGTCGACATAGTGAGTTCTAGGACAGCCAAGGCTACACAGAGAAACCCTGTCTCAAAAAACAAAACAAAAGAAAAATTACAGATATGAAGTAGCAACAAAATAATTTTATGATTGGGAGTCAGCACAACATGAGGAACTGTATGAATTAAAGGGTTGCAGCTTTAGGAAGGTTGAGAACCACCTCTCTAGAATGCTGCTCCTGTTTACCTTCTGGGCCCAGAACTAGGCTTCCATACACACACCCTTGCCTGGGACAAAACGTAGAGCCTCAGTTCTGATTACAGTGTTATTCCCCTAAACAATTGTGTCTCATAGGAACCAGCACTGGCCATTCCCTGAAAAAAGTTCAGTGCTCCTTGTGGCACCAAAAATAAAACGCAGAGTTCCCCCTAAGGCTGCTGAAGTTTGGTTTGGATGACTTCTCCCCTTAATCCACAGACTCCTGCCCCACCCATCACAAACGTCTGTTGCATATCTGTGTCTGCCACATCTTTTTGTTGTCGTTGTTTTTCAAGACAGAGTTTCTTTGTGTAACTGTCCTGGCTGACCTGGAACTCACAGAGATCCACTTGCCTCTACCTCCGAAGTGCTGGGATTAAGGGCATGTGCCACCACCACCCAGCTCAGACACATCTTTTAAAGAGTCCTATCTATTCCTCAACTGAACTTCTTGCCCTCGTTCTCCTATATTTTCCTGTCTATTGGTAGGTTCAGTCAGCCTCGATAGACTCTACTTTTGATTATGGAGTGGCCTCAGGGAAAAGGCTCTGAATATTCTGGCCAAAGACCAGTTTTCCTTTTCCATTCCTTCATGTGATTGATGATGCTGGGGAGTGAGAATGTAAGACCATAGCCCCGCGATCCCCACTAGAGGGCGGTCCAGCCTACTTCGACTCAGAGCGGGCTAGAAGGATGCCGGAGGGAATTTAGCAAATGACCCTTCCCTTAAGGTTCTTTGTAGAGTAGTCACTGCGCCGAACCTCACTCCCACCATTTCCAGGGATTGTCAAGGCCCGCTTTGACAGACCCTGAGTGGCCACAATATCGTCAGATCAGACGATCGGGCGCAGTGCCCACACGTGGGCGTCTCATCGCGGCCCCAATATTAGAGACCGCTACTTCACCAGGGGACAAATTGAAAAGCTGAGACCACTAGACGAACGCGTGGGGCGGGAGGAGGTCGTGTCTGTCCTGCGTCACGCTAAACCAGGGGGTCCTGAGCTGCTTTCGGCCGTGCGGGGTTGGAGGGCGGGGCTAGAAGGGGTAGGACATCTGCAGTCCGCCCCGCCTCCATTGGCTAGGGCGCCGGGGGCGGGGCAGGGCGCAGCTGCCAGATGTTGGGGCGGCAGCGGCGGGAGCTACGGAGAGCGAGGAGCCTGGGAGTAAGGCAAGGGTGACGACGCCGCTGGCGGGCCGACCCGGCCCACTCTGCGCTGCTCTCGCGGGTGATCGAGAAGGAGCCGAACGACCTGGAGAGGGCTACAGCACCAGCACCAACATGCACAGCGCTCGCCTTGACAGCTTCCTGAGCCAGCTCCGCTGGGAACTGGTGAGGTTTTGGAGTGGGTGTGGTTGTAAGGATGTGTGTGGGGTGCGTGACTGCCGCCTGGCTGGAACAACAAACGGGTTCGGAGTGGGCTCCGGGTGCCCATCCGAGTCAGGATGGGGGCAGGGCAGAGCGGTGCAGATGGCCCAGATGGCCCGCTTCGGGTTTCTGACGGTTGGGAGCTGTTCTGGGCATCAGGTAACAGGCGCCCAACTGGCTCTGCTGGGCGGCGGGGGAGGATAGTCGGGAGAGAGGTTTCTTTTGGGGACCGGCAGGGAGCACCAAGGGCCTAAAGAAGTACTGTGCTGTCGTGGACATCCCCTACCACGGGCTGGCCTGTACCTCCTTCCTCTACCCTGCCTGCCCGCCCTGGTGGCGCGTGCTGACTTGCCCAGTCCTGCGTGCTGCAGCCTGCAGGACTGCCACCAGCTCTGCGGATGGGAGCCATATGAGCCTCGACTGCCAGTGCCCCCATATGGGCCCTATGCCTACAGTTCTGCCTTGTTGCCCAGAGGTTTTTCAAGTCTTTGTGAACTTTCTGTTCACGGCTGGCCTGGTCAGACACTAAGTGATGGTAAGAAATCCCTCTCCGACTTCTGCTCTCTCTTTCCCTTCAGTTGTGTGGTCGGGACACAGGCTCACCTCCAATGTCTGGCCCACTGCAACCAAAACCCCAAACCGATCCAAGTGTACAGCCCAACCGCCAGTTGAGAGCCTCAGATGCTCTGGAAGAGGACTCTGTCTGCTGTGTGGAAGAGGAAGAGGAAGAGGAAGCCTTGGTAGCGGAAGACAGGGGTGTACCCTTGGGATGTCCTCGGGAACATGCCCTAGACTGGGACTCTGGCTTTTCAGAGGTGTCGGGCAGCACATGGAGAGAGGAAGAGCTATCGGTACCCCGGCGTCAAGCACCCTCAGAGCGGCCACCTCATAGCCAGCGGTTCTCAGTCAGTGACCTCCCCTTGCGCAGTAGGGCAGCTGTAACCGGTATATCACCTGCCCACCGTCCTCGGCCCAAGTCCACACCAGATGCTTGCCTAGAACATTGGCAGGGATTGGAAGCAGAGGACTGGACGGCAGCCCTGCTGAACAGGGGGCGAAGTCGGCAGCCCCTGGTGCTAGGGGATAACTGTTTTGCTGATTTAGTTCACAACTGGATGGAACTGCCTGAGGCAGCCAGTGAGGGGGGTGATGGAGGTGTACCCCGAGCCCGTGCTCGACCCCCTCAGTTCCTGCTTGGCCTCTCTGAGCAGCTACGGCGTCGGCTGGCCAGGGCTCGCAGGGCAGCTATGGCAGGAAAGCGGCTGTCATGCCCACCTCGGCCAGAACCTGACCTGCCTGCGGACATCTCACGATTTGCAGCCCTCATGAACTGTCGCAGCCGCCAACCCATCATCTACAACGATGTCAGTTACCTCTGACCTGCCCTCCAGCCAGGGACAATAAAGGCCTTTTTCTAGACTGTTGGTTCCTAAACCAATATGAGTGACAAATCTTTACAGTGTACTTGAGCCTTATTCCACAGCAAGGAAGCATCCCCAGCCCTGTGGGGCACAACCAAGACAGACCAATCTAGAATCTTTCCTCTCCTTTCCAGGGTTCCTGTCTTGCCCATGTCATACGCATGTTCCTTACATCCATGTTCTATTGCCCATCTTCTCTACTTCCTTCAACAAGTTTTTATTGTTGCGCTGTCTGCTGTAGGCTCGAGATACAGGCATCGTGTGTCTTGTTTGTTATGGCCGAGTGACGGCGTGGTGGCAGTCACCCATGCCACAGCTCATAGTGCAGAGGTGGGAAGGCAGTTTCGTCCTCCTCACCCTCACAGCTCAGCTCCAACACCAGGACCCTCAGCCCAGGCTCAGGCTCCCTGCCGGTCACTTGCTGAACCCATTCTGTCACCCTGGAATGGGAGGAGGTTCAGGGAGATTTGGTAGGTGAGCTGAGGCAGACAGGGGCAACCCAGTGTAGATTAGAGGGTGCTGGGGAGCCCTCAGGAGCCCGAACTGGGATCAGGAGTGGCTCAAGGCAGGAAACATCTGAACTATTTTAGGAGCAGCTGGTGGGGCAGGCAGGAGGCAGGAAGCTGTGGATCTCTTGGAAGTGGGGGGGGGCTGGGCAGTATATGGGGAGCGAGGGGGGCCAACCAAGCAGACAGCTACTAAAGTCCCCTTCCTCAGGCTCTTAGCCCCACCCCAAGCCCATTTGGTGGCTCCATTTGGTGGAAGAATGCTTCAAGAAGGTGTGAGGGGCCTAGAATTGGGTTGAGAAAAAGAGGCTGCTACCCATCCTCAACATCCAGGGACATGGTAGGGCCTGGTTATGGTCGGGCACTGGCTCACCTGAGGCACAGGCACTGAGTCCGCTTTTCCAAAGACCATCGTGCAGAATAGAGTACGGCCTGGCCATACAGCAGCATCTTCACCTTCAGTCCGTGTTCTTTCTAGAGAGACAAACATCAGTTACTCAGTGGGCCAGGCTGGGCTGGGCCTGGGGCAGAGGGGAGGCAGGGCACACCTGGAGATGGGCCAGCAGTGATGCCAGTGTCCTCTCAGGCTGCCCAGCAGGCACCTTCAGGCGGTCCCAACGGGTCCACGTCAGGTGATGGAACTATGGGGTGAAGGTGAGGAAGAATTAGATTTCTCGCACAAATCTGCAGCCCCTGGCCCAGTTACTAGCAGCTTTTCCTAGAGGAGAAGCTGCTAAAGAGGCAGAAAGTCGAAGCCAAGAGGTGGAGGGGGGGTGGAAGGTGGGATTTGGGCCCAGAGTCTCAGCCCCCTCCCAACCCAGGCTGCGGCCAACACAGGAAATGGAGCTATGGGGCCCTGTACAGGGAAGCAGACATCCATCACACCGGCCTGTTGGTGGGGGGGGGGGGGGGGGTGGCGGAGTGTGTGTGGGGGTGCTGCTTCCTGAGGAAGCCGGAGCTGGGCTGCTGCAGTCTCCGATAAAGCTGATTGTTCCTCAAAGAGGAGGCTGGGAGCTGGAGGCTACAGCTCATGCTGCTCCCCAGTCCTTACACACAAGGATTTGGACTGTGCATGGGCATGTGAAAACCAAGGACACGGTGACAATGGAACCCTACTGACCCAGAGATCCTAGCAGAGACACAGTCTATAGGAGCTTTTATTCTTAGCCCATCTTTTTCCCAGTTGGAGAGTTCTGGTATCTACAGATGAGGACAGACGCAGCAGACAGAGTCTAAGACAAAGGGGCCCTGCCAATCCTCGGAAAGCATACTAGGGTTGAGCTGAGACTAGGCTAGAGGCAAGATAGGGACTCCTACCCACCCCCATTCCATGGACAAAGGCAGTCTGTGTGCTGGTTAGCAGTGGGGCACCTCACAAAAGCACTCTGTGTGCATGTCCAGAGGGACCCTAGGCTAGCTAGTGACCTCTGTCCTCTCCCCTGGTCAGGGCATTCCTTCTACCCCCTTTCCTGTTTCTCAAGGAAATGCCAACTGTGACAGAGGCTGGGCACACAATTGGACACATTACCATCCTGCCTTCATAGGAACACCACACAAACAAAACCACAACACCCACACATGTGTCCACGTGCACATCCATGAATGCGCACACTGAGGAAGAGCCTTGCTGGCCCATCTGGCACACAGATGTGTAAACTCAATCCCTCCACACTCACACACCAGGGCTGCCCAGACCTTGATGTACTTGATCTGTAGCGTGAACACACTGTCCTATAGGGCTGAGACCCACACTCACGGTAGCAAGCCTGGTGGCCTTTAACTTGGCTTGAGGTGGACAGTACTGGGTTCTACAGAGAGAAGCTAGACTCTCTGGGGTTGAGTCTATGGCTGCCCCTCCCTACTTCCTCCCACCAGGATATTATTGGGAAGGAGGGGGCTATGGGGGATGTCTGGCTCCACTAATGAGTTAAAGCTGCAGCTCCCCCAGACCCTGGGCTGCAGGGGGTTGGGAGGTATGGCTGATGGCTGTTTCCTGTGTCTGAAAGGTCCAAGCCTGGCTTCATATCAGGAAGGGAGCTGGAGGGAGTCTAGAGGATTCCCCATAGTCTGGGGCCTGGAGAGAGTCCACAGCTAGAGCCCATACTATTTATTTGGGTGGGTAAAGGGACAACTCGAGTCTAATGGGAACAAGGGTAGGGTAGCAAGGGCTCACCGACTGGATGGCTGGGGCAGAAGGCACTGCTCGTATGAAGTTGTTTTCAGCCAGGTGCAGAGAACTTTGACGAAAGGTATCAAGGGGCCGTGGCCCACTTACCACCTTATACAGCTCCAGGCCCAATAAGCCTGCTACAACTGCTGTACTGGTGGCAATGGCTGGGATAATCTGGCCCACGGTTTGCTTGATCTGTCAAGGACAGGGCATCTGGTATGGGCTTAAGATTTGGCCCTCCCTTCCAGGCTGAGCCCCAAAGGGGTGGTGTTACCTGAGCATGGTTGAGTGGTAGGATCCCATAGTTCTGAGCTCTCAGATCAGTTGCTGCTACCACAAAGTCCATATGGAAGTTGCTGTCATCATCCTGCCAGGCCCAAGTCACAGGAGGGTTAGCGCTGCAGCGGTTTCCCTGACACAGGAGGGTTAGCTATGCAGTGGTATTCCCATCACAGGAGGGTTAGCGCTGCAGTGGTATCCCTCCCCATGGCCAACTAGATGCCATTGACTGGTCTTTGTACCAAATTTTTGGTTGGTATCCACCATCTCCCTCCTTTGCCACACAGTACAACTGAGGTGCAAGGGGGACGGGCTGCTTCCGTAGCCTTGAAAGAAGGAAACTCGGGTTCTCAGACTACCCCCACTTCCTTACCGTCCCCCAGCCCAGTCTGTCATTCCCACTTGGGTCCCACCTTCTCAAACAGCACAGGCTTCAACGGAGGGCCCTTGATCCAGTCTTCCAGACGTTCCTGCAGTTCCTTCAACTGTCCCGGGGCTGTCAGGGAGCAAGGTGTGGGGTCAGTCCTTGCTCACTTCCTATACTCTAGAGCCTGTGTCCATCCTTGATCTCTGTCTAATCTGCCAGTTGCTGCCGCTTGATCAAATCAAGGATTGATCTGATGCTGCCATCTGCTCCGTCCTCACCTGGGGACCATAGCTAGGCATGCTGCAGAACATTTTTTTTTCTTTTAAATTTTGAAAATCTCTCGAGAGAACTGGGATATGCTTTAGGCAGCAAAGAGTGGACCTACTGAGGGGCAAGAGGATGGATATAAACTAAGCAGCAAAGTAAGAGGCCCAGAGGGGGCTGAAGAGATCGCTCAGCAGTTAAGTGCACTTGTTGATCTTGTAAAGGACTCTGGTTCAATTCCCAGCACTTACATGGCAGCTCACAACTGTCTATAACTCCAGTTCTAGGGCTTCAATGCCCTCTTCTGGCTTCAGTGGGCACCAGGCACACATGTGGTACACAGATATACTTGTAGGCAAAATACTTATATATATAAAATAAAAATTAAATAAATAACAAAAACTCCCAAAGAAAGCCAGAGGGAGGAAGCAGGCTGGCTATGGGCAGGGGGCAAGCCTTGGATGACTGTATAAGACTAGAACCTCGCCAAACTCAGCAGGAGCAAAGGTACCATCAGAGATGAGGTCTGGGTGCATGGACTCAGGCTTTGGCAGCAGCTCCAGTAGTTCCCTGAATGAAGTCTCGTCTCGTGAGCCAGGAAGTCCATGCATTTGTGCATACAGATTGGCAGCAGCCAGCACATAGAGGAAATGCATGTCCTGAAGCCAGGTAGAGAGCAGGAACAGTTTCATGGGTACATGGGATGGGTTTCATTGCCCTTTGGTGGATATGTTTGAATGCCTGACGGTCTCAAGAACAAACACCCACATTTGGACAAGGGAGGCTCTCTTTTAGCATCTGTGCATCTTATTGGAATGCAAAGGTGGCTACCTCTACTCTAAGGGGACTCATGTCTAAGGATTCCACTCACGTGGCTGGGGTCAAATTGCAAGGGCTGTGGACATCTTTTGGATCCTGACCAGAACAGAGTTCCATCCTCGAGCGCCTAAGGAAACAGGGGCGGTTGGGCTTAGTCTGGTCTCCTGGAGCCATCAGTTGCCCAGCCACTAACTACCTACTTTATCAGATGGGAAGAGTCTCAGCAGCTCTACGATGCCATCATGGAAGCATAGTTGCCAGTGGCCTAGAGCCCACACCACACAGTCTTGCCAAACCTGTGGGCGCATTTTTAGGACACCCATCACTTGCTGCAGTAAGGCTGGTGTTTGTGTCCTATCTATGCCCGACAGGGAAGTGCATGTCCTGCCGAGAGAGGAGGAAGTTTGAGATTGAACTCTGTGCCTGGATACCTGGACTCCGACCTACCCCTGTTGTTGGCCTTACTGTTGGTAGCCGTTGATAGTCTCTGCAGATAGTCTGAAGAGTCCCTCAAATTCATCCCGGGCCCACTGCGGGGGAGGGGAGGATGATAAGGTATCAGCTGAAGAACAGCTCTGCCGTTTGAGAATTGAGATGGGTAGGGCGGGATATACTTACCTGCAGGATGTGCTCCGTTGTGCTGGGGAAGTACCGCAGAGTGCACAGAGGGTAGGAAGCAGTTTCAGAAGCTGCAGCCGAGGCAGGACCGTTGTAGGTTTCGGTCACATGCGGCACAAACACAGAAGCACTCCCCCGGGTTCCCTGTGTGCCTGCCTCCAGCAGTGGTTTCAGATAGTGGGTACAGCGAGCAGCAACATAGTGCCCTGGCAAAAGGGTACAGGGTATGAAGCGAGGCTACCAGAGTCTTGGGCAAGGAGCTCAGCTCTAAGGCAGACACTCACGGGCCTCGAAGCTGTCTAAAGCAGCAACAACACCATCCACTCTGGAGAAGAAGTCGTCACCATAGATGTGCTCTGTGGTGGAATCCAAAGGGTAGGTACACGAGGTCACTTGTAGGTCTGGGTTTAGACATTGGGCTTCTCTTGCAGCCACCACCGCCTTGGGGCTCTGGGAAGAGAGGAAATGGGCATATAAGAAAGCAACCTGAGCTGGGTGGTGGTGGTGGCATGTGTTTTTAATCCCAGCACTCCAGAGCCAGAGGTAGGCGGATCTCTGTGAGTTCAAGGCGAGACTGGTCTATAGAACAGGGACCAAAAAACAAAACTACACAGAGAGATCATTTCAAACAAACAAACAAACAAAAGAATGTCACCTGAGAAACAAGAATGTAAGAGGGACCAGCACTCACCCCAATGTTCTGGGGCCTAAAGAGGAACTGCCTGCTGAGGTTGGAGCGTTCTATGTGGTCCATGTCGGCAACAGTCACACCTCCATTAACGCTGACTCCCAGGCCCATTAGGGCAAAACCTTTAAGCATCTCACAGCCAATGGCTCCAGCACCCACCTGCTGGCAAGAACAGAATTATCCAGGGCACTTGGTGTGGATTTCCCCAAGACATCTCCACCATCATCCCTCAAACTCACCAAGAGGTAATGTTGGTAGCTCAATTTCTCCTGAAAACCAGCCCCAAACACAGCAATCTGCCCATCGTATCGGCAGTTTCTCTAGGAAACACAAATGATGGCCAGCGATGGCTGATGCCCGTGCTAAGTGTGGTCATTCACTGAGTTCTTTAATCAGGACCTCAGGACCATTTCTCGGGTTTCTCCTCCAACCCTGATTTTGAATAAGGCTTTCACCATCAGTTCTCACCGGATGACAGTCCTCAGGATTGGGAAGGAGCTCCTCATCTTCCGGAAGACATTCAAGGGCATCAAAGTACAGCCACTGGTCCAGGGGCATGAACTTCCCGGAGACTGCCTGGGGGTGGGCACTCACTCTGGGGCTTATGCCAACTCCTTAATCCTAAAACCCTTAGATCCCATCTAAGGGCTGCACCTGGTTTGATAAAATGCTCCAGGGTGGCTGCTTGGTATGGGTGCCCTTTGGCACACCCACTGACTTGCCCACTTTCCCAGTCCTTCCCTTTCCCCACCTTTGTCTACCTTCAGGACTTCCTGGGCAGCCACTCCCCCCAGAATGGCTGCCATGGGGCTCAAGCTGCCAGCACTAGTCAGGGCAATTGTCCGAAGTAAAGCCTCATCCAGCGATTCTTCTTTTGTCCCTTTTAGTGGCTCTAGGTCCCGGGCCAGATGCACCACGGTCTCTGCATCAACCTATGGAATGGCACTCAGGCATAGCATATGCCTAGTAGCCCCCGTCTGAATTCTAACCTTCCACTCAAAGCCTTCAGGTACCCATCTACCCTATTCCACGGAAGCAGCAGAATCCTAAGTGGGAAAGCCTGGCATCATTGCTGGGCTGGGAGGTACTACCAAAGGATGTTCAGTACCAGCTAGAGACACTGAAGGCATCACCAACCTGAGCAGTTTTCCAACTTGTCTCTGCAGGCTTAAGGATGGAGCAAGCAGGGTCTCTGGGTTATAGGCCTAGTACATCTATGGCCATAACCTCTGGTATAAGATAGTGGTACTCATGCCCTGTTTTTGAGTACAGAATCTGCCTCTAGGGTTCAAACTTGGGTCTGTAAATGGTCACTGAGGTGAGGTCTGAAGGGTGAGGTCCAGGAAGACAGGCTATGGATTGTGCGATGTGGTGCCACTCACAGGATCCCAGGGCTTGGGTAGCCGGCCATGAAGTTTCTGGAACTCGTGCAGTGCATGAAAGGCCTGATGCAGGCAGTGAGCACGTTGGACTTCCTGAGTATTCTGGGCCACCACACGGGGGTGAAGCAGAGCTTTGTCCAGGGACTTCTGTAGGGTTGGGGTTGCTTGGCTTAGGATGAAGTCTGGAACACTATGCACCCACTGATGAAACCAGGGGCTCCCACCTCACAGGCACTTGCACTTACATGCCTCACAGTCTTGGGTCTCTTGACTTCAGTGACAACCCCACCACGCAAGTAAGGGGAGAAAGCTGTCGTGTCTCCAATCTCCAAGGACCCGTCTTCTGGAAGAGATCCAGTCAGGTAAGTTATGACCCTTAAATATAAGTAGTTTCCACATAGCGTTGAGTCAGGGGTTGGATGGAGTAGGGTCAGCTTACTCTGCACACGGACAGGCTGAGGAGAACCACCGTTGAGTTCAACCATGCCTTCAATGCCTGAGAAAATCACCAAGTCCCCGTCATAGAAGAACTGTCTTTTGGTGTCTTGTCTCAGAGTGACAATGCCGGGCAACCCCTAGGAGAGAGGTAGTTTGACTTCAGAGTGCCTATACCTGCCTTCCACAGGCCCTGGCACCTTTCTCTGACTATCAGGTGAATCTCTACATCTTAGCACCCACCTGGGAGATGTCCTGGATGGCAGCTGTCATGGGTTCTACCTCTGTAGGGTCCTCAACGGTGAAGTCCTCACCAAAGTCACAAAACAACCGCCTAGAGTGGTTGGCAGGAGTCATGAGGAAGCTCATCAATTGTGAGTGATGGTAGGGACGCTGGGACAGGCCCAAGGGGAAGGAGTTCTGGGAAAGATGTGGAAATTAAGATTTGGGCACATCGAGTGTACTAGAACAGGTCTGGACACTGAGGTTGAGAAACAAGGGAGGAATAGTAGTCCAGAATTAAGAAGATCCTTGACTAGGTTTGAGGCAGGGTGGAGGGTGATATGGACAAGCTTAGAGTTGGGGAAAGCATTGGGACCAATTGTTGGCAGTGATGTAGTGGGGTATACAGGAGAATCCTCACCCCACAAGGCCCCGGGTTTCAGCCACCAGAAAGCAGATTCCATGCTCGTGGCAGAAGGTTCCCACCTTCAGCTGCTCCTCTAGCTGGGAGTCGGTCAGCACCACTACCTATATGGATACCAGAAGCACTTGTCACCTTCTGTGCTTCTGAGGGCAGGACGGAGGTACTAGGCTGGCACGCAAACTGGGGCTGGGGTAAGTACCTGAAAAGCCCGCAGCAGGTCGTCAGTGATGTCACCTGTGTGGACGGAGATCTGGACAGCTTCATTGAGCTGAGCCAATTGTGCTTGAGAGGCCTCGGCCCTGCTCCTTCCCAAGCTCTCTTCTGAGAGGAAAAACTAAGGACAGAACAGTGTAGCTTTAATCAAAGTGAACAAAGCCCTTTGGCCCTGCTCTGAGAGAGAGCATAGAGACCCCAAGAACTCTCACCTGAGCAGCCAGGTCAGCCCAGCAGGTGGACTGGGGATCGTGCAGGGTGAGGCTGCCTACACCCATAAGGACCAGGTTCTTGGCCACCTCAGCTCCTAGGCCCTGCAGGCCAGATAGCAAGACATTGACTCCCCGAATCCTCTGCATAGCAGGCAGGCCCAGTACATACCTGTGGTTAAGAAGTAGGAGGGCAGGCAGTTGAGTGACCTTAGGTCTGGAGGCCACCCGACTTTGTATCCCACTTAGAGACTCACAGCTGCCTCGAGTATAGCTCCTCATCCATCCTCAGTCGTGGGCTGGATAAGGAGGCGGTGATGTTCACAGCTACTGGGGGGGGGGGGGGCGGGGGTAAGAGGAGGTGGCACAACAGGGCTTGTAACTGATGCAAGCAGGAACCTAAGCACTGGTTGCTGCTTCTTTCAGTTCCCTCCCTGGCTCCTCTGTAACTTCAGGAAAACAGAAGTGAAACTAGACTCTGAATTGGTTCCTAGTTCTCAAACTGGGACTTACGCCAGCCCTCTACAGGCCGATTGGGGCTTATCACCCGGACAAGACCCAGTGTTACAAGAGGGCAGTGACTCGAAGTCAGATCCGAGAGTGGGGAGCATGGGGCAGTTACAAAACGAGAACATACATCCTTATATTGTTTTCAAACTTTTGAAATAATTGTAGACTCACAGTAAGTTGTGGAAATAAGAGTTGCTGTGTGCTGTTCATGTTTTTCCATCAGCATACATTGACTACACAAAGTACTGGGCTTCATTTTTCTTTCTCTTTTTTCTCTCTTTTTTGGTTTTTTGAAACAGGGTTTCTCTCTGTAGCCTTGGTTGTACTGGAACTCATAGATATTCACCTGCCTCTGCCTCCCTGAGTGCTGGGATTAAAGGTGTGCACCACCACTGCCCAGCTCATTATGGCATTTTCTTTTTTAAAAAATAATTTATACTTATTTCATGTTCATTGGTGTTTTGCCTGCATATATGTTTGTGTGAGGATGTCAGATCTTTTGTAAGCTGCCATGTGGGTGCTAGGATCTGAACCCTGGTCCTCTGGAAGAGCACCCATTGCTCTTAACTGCTGAGCCGTCTCTCCGGTCCCCTATGGCACTCTTGTACATATGTATAATGTATTTTGATCATATTCATCCCATTAGCCTCTCTAGCCTGCTCCCACTCTTGCTGATCCTTTCCTCTTCCACGAGTTCCCCTTCAACGTTCATGTCTTGTTTCTGTGACTTGCTGAGTTCCATAGGGTTGCTTATAGTAGGGTGGGCGAGAGGGTACTTACAGAAGCCACCTCCCACTCCTGGAGGGGCGGAGCCTTATGAGTCCTTGCTCCCTCCGTGACAGAATGCTCATGCTCACAGGACCAGATGTTGTGCAGATCTTTTTTTTTTTTAATAATTAATATTTTATGTTCATTGGTGTTTTGCCTGCATTCATATCTGTGTGCAGTCATTTGATTCCCTGGAGCCAGAGTCACAGATGGTTGTGAGCTGCTGTGTGGGAACTGGGAATCGAACCCATGTCCTCTGGCAGAGCAGTCTATGTTCTTAACCACTGAGCCATCTCTCCAGTCCCATTGTGCAAATCTTGGATAGGTCACAGCTATTACGAGTTCAAGAGTACAAGAGTCATATCATGGCCAGAAGACAGTGTTTTGCAGACCCCATCTTCCAATTCTGACATTATTGCATCCTCTTTTCTATGAGCCTTCTATGCTTCCCGAGTCTTGAGTGGGGCTGGTATGGATATCTTTTAGGGCTGAGCCCTCAACACTTATTGTCCACACTTTGACGAGTTATGAGGCTCTGCAGTTATCACTGCCCACTTCAAATAGAAGCTTCTCTGTGGCTGGAGAGATGGCTCAGTCAGTTAAGAACACTGGCTACTCTCCCAAAGGTCCTGGATCAATTCCCAGCAACCATATGGTGTCTCACAGCCATTTATAGTGTGATCCAATGCCCTCTTCTGGCATGCAGGCATACATGCAGATAGAGCACTCATATTCATAAAATGAATAAATCTTTTTTTGTTGCTTATTTTTTAAGACAGGGTTTCTCTGTGAGCCCTGACTGTCCGGTAATTCACTCTGTAGACCAGGCTAGCCTTGAACTCATAGAGATCCACCTGCCTCTGCCTCCTGAGTGCTAGGATTAAAGGCATATACTGCCAAGTGGTCAACACCACTGGTTTTCTAAAACCCTTTTTATCATCCCAGACAGAAACTGTCAGCAAGTAAGCAGTAACTCTGGTTTCCAGTCCTAGCCACTATATTTGTCTCTCTAAGTTTACCTATTCTAGACAATTCCTGTAAGCAGAACCAGAGTAGATGTCTGTCTCACTGTTTCACTTACATATCTTTTTAAAAAAAATATTTATTTACTTAAAATGTATACAATATTCTGTCTGTGTGTCTGCCTGCAGGCCAGAAGAGGGCACCAGACCTCATTACAGATGGTTGTAAGCCACCATGTGTTTGCTGGGAATTGAACTCAGGACCTTTGGAAGAGCAGGCAATGCTCTTAACCACTGAGCCATCTCTCCAGCCCCTCACTTACATATCTTGAGTTCTTAACCAATAGCCTTACTAGATTCCCATCACTGGGTGGCTGGTGTTATTGCCCCCACTGTATAGATAACATCGAGAGAGGATAATTGACCTAAGACCACTCAGTATGTGCTAGCAGCCAGCCTCTATGTTTTCAGCCAGATGGTGCAATTCCCCCTCACAACCCTCTTTGGCTCATGTCAGCCACAGATGGGCTCAACATTTATAGCTGTCTATAAATTATAACATCTATAAGTTTAACATCTATAACTGTCTATAAGTTATAACATCTGTAACATCTATAAGTCATAACATCTATAACTGTCTATAACATCTGTAACATTCATAAGTTACTTTCCTGTTGCTGGGATAAAACACTGACAAAAGCAACTTAGGGGAGAAAGTTTTTATTTTAGCTCAGTTTCAGGTTACAATCAATCATTGCAGGGAAGTCAAGCCAGAAGGCAGAGCAGCTGGTTAAGAGCAAAGAGGGTGCTAGTGTGGTAAGTACTTCTGTCTATTTGTTGTTTTTATTAGTTAATGGATAAAGCTGTTTTGGCCAGTGGCTTAGCAGAATAGAGCTAGGTGAGAAAACTAAACTGGATGCTGGGAGAAAGAAGACGGGGTCAAGGAGAAGCCATGTAGCCACCAGAGGAGAAAGATGCTCGCCGCCAGCTGGAACCTTGCCAGTAGGCCACGAATCTTATGGTAAAACATAAAATAACAGAAATGGGTTGATCTCAGATGTAAGAGCTAGCTAGAAATATGCATAAGCTAATAGGCCAAACAGTGATTTAATTAATACAGTTTTTGTGTGGTTATTTCGAGTCTGGGCGGCGGGAACAAATGAGCAGCCTCCCCATAGGGTGCATTCATTCTGTGCTCAGCTCACTTTCTCTGCTCCGAAAAGTCCAGGATCCTCTGCTTAGGTAACGGTACCACACACTGTAAGTAGGTTGACCTTCTCACCTCAGTTAACATAACCAAGATAACCTCTTCTGGTCCTCATAGAGAGGCCCTTACCAAGTGATTCTAGATTGTGTTGACAATCAAAGCCAGGCATCATACAACCAAGGCTGTCTATCATCTCCATCCCCAGATAGCTTCAAATGGCTGGATGTCTGCGCAGGAAGCAGGCAATGTGCTAGGGAAACATCTAATAATGATGTTTAGAATGAGAAAGTTTAGGAAGTCACCCAGGTGAGTGGCCAGTAAGGGAAATTCTCCAGGAGAAAGTGTCCTGAAGCTAAGACCTAAAAGCTAACTAACAGCTTGGTCGCTGGTTGTCTGATGTGCTTGCTGAGTTCCCTGAATGGATGTGAACTCACTCGGTTCACCCACTCTAGACTACAGGGACGCCAACCTTGCTAGTCTTCCTGCGCCCTGTGAGAAAGCCATGCAGGGGAAGAAAACTACCAGGTCTGAGTCTCGGTGGCACTCCCACTTTAGAAACTCACACTGAGGGGTTGGAGAGATGGCTCAGTGGTTAAGAGCACTGACTGCTCTTTCAGAGGACCTAGGTTCAATTCCCAGCACCCACATGGCAGCTCACAACTGTCTGAAAATGCAGTTCCACAAGATCTGACACCTTCACACCAGTGCACATAAAATAAAGTTAAATAAATCATTTAAAAAATTTTTAAAAAATAAAAATAAATAAAAAAAGAAACTTACACTGATTTTCTGAAGTCTTGGTACAGATTTATACACCCAGAGCCAGGAAGAAAAGATGCCTTTTTATTTCCCATGGAAACCTTCCCCCATTACTTCCCTAACATCCTCTAATTCACACAGTGAGCTGGAGGCAGACAGAAGTTCAGGCTAGCCTGCTTAGGAATCCTCCAGCACTTTCATCCATACAGAGGCAAACGTGATCCTGGTCTATAAAAACAGGAGTCCAGCCATATCTGGTTGTAGCCATACGCAAAAACCTGCAAAACGAAGCAGACCCTGCTGACTGGAACTGTAACCCCCAGAGGTAAAATCCAGTGCGGTGCAGGGCAAAGCGAGCACAGGAAGTGCAGATTCTGCGCTCTCTCTTGCACTGTCCAGGAAGAGGAGCCATCTCCCCAAACACTCCTGGGTTGACAAAGGTCTTGGCCCACTAATTGGAGACATGACTCTGGTCACTGCTCACTGCCACAGGAAGGTATCCAGCTTGGGCTGGGAGGAAGAATTCCCAGTCTTTATTCTCACTTTCTGTTTACTCCTGGCCTTGGGCTTAACCTGCAATGGTCGGATAATGGCTGTGTCTGTCTGGAAGCAATGTCAAGGAAGAAGCTTGGAGAGGAGACTGGAATGCAGGGCAGAAAAAACAGATACACTGAGCAAGGCGCAGCTCTGCCCATCTTAGGCTGCAGGCACTGGCAGTGGGGACCCTGGGGATACAGGTCAGGGCACAGTGTATATCTCTTAGCTCTCAGTTCAGGCCATGGTCATAGAAAAAGGATACAGGCTGAATGAATTTTGTTCGTCCTCCAAGTCCATCGAAGCCTATTCTTACCTAGGGCAGAAGGAAGGCATAAGTGATCAGGAAAATGGGAGCTGACTGCCTTGCTCCACACAGGAGACCAGGTACCTGTGACACTCACCACATCTGTGCTGCAACGGGAAGCTGCTGTGGTCCTGTTGGGCTGTTTCTGACCGAGGACAGCATTCCGGATGAAGAGAGGGAAGGCACCAGCCAGTTCCTCGTCTGGCTCTCCTACACAGCGCTGGCCACCCAGTGAGAGCTGGGGCTCCTGTTGGGTAATGCCAGAGTCAGACTTGTTAAGTTAGACAGCAGCAAAGGACATGGGGTAGTGATAGTGACAGAGATCTGGTTATTAGGATATTTGACCAGGTGGTGGTGGTGCACACATTTAATCCCAGCACTAAGGAGGCAGAGGCAGGCAGA